TGTGGTAGGCAATATTCTGTTACCTACATGCTGGTATTTATGAATTTTACTATACCATTTGAATGGCAATTACGTTTCATCATTTTACTGTTGAAATATCTAGACGTAACCGTAAGTTCTATTCTGAGAGTTTCTTCTCTCGTACTTCTCGGATTTGGAAATTTCTTCCGGTTTCACACATTCCTGCTACTTACGATCTTCAAAAATTTCAATGATATTATTTTCTGTCTTCCCGAAATCTGTTCTTTTATTGTCCTTTCTCCTCACTAAAGTCTTCTCATTCTATTTCCCTCCCAGTAACCCTTTGCGCCTTAGTGGCATTATCGCCATCTTATGTCTTCCTAAAACTTGTACTTTTATTGTCCTTTCTCTTCACTAAAGTATTTTCATTCTCTTTCACCCAGTAACCCCTTGCGTCTTAGTGGCATTATCGCATTCTTATGTCTTCCTGAAAACTGTTAATCAGAGAGCCAAGTTTCAATTCCCGTTCAGTTCGTTACGATATTGAGTCACAACCCCCTCCCCCCACGAGGGTGTCATGTGGCACAAGGCCTTTTTAACGTGGGCATTCCGAGCCCGTGGGCTCGGCCAAAAATATGCCCATTGAACCCGTATATACGGGTTCAGGGCCGGTTTACCTCTCCGAAGGAGACTCCACCCTTCGGCGTAGCCTCCTTCGGGTTCCTCCCGTCCGTAGGAAGAGAGTTCAACCGAACAGTCGGTTCAAAAGTGAACGACTGACTCACTTTCAGTTCGTTACATTCACTTACGTACAAATACTCTTAGGGAAGGTATGATTTTACCTCTTCCCCCAGCTATGGGCTAATTAGTAAGACTTATATCACTAAAGGAAAACAATCTAAAAATAGTTCCTAGTTTTCAATAACCTGCAAAGGATTGATGAGCCGTAGAAAACGAATCAATCAATCAATGAAATACTGATTAGCTACACAGACATGTTTTTTAGATTTATCTACATTCTCTGGAATAGAAATGCATAGAAACTACAATGGCTACAAAGTGAGGGCTCCTATTTTTATATTGATTGCAATTTAGAAGGTTAAATATATTGGAAATATTTTAACAGACAACGAAAAATATGAGACCAAAATCAAAAGGCTCATTAGAATAAGAAAAGATTCCTTTTAAAAGCTAAGCAATGTATTAAGAAACAGAAAAAAAATATTCGAAACAAAGAAAAAAGGTGCTAAACTGTTAGGTAATATCAATACTCCTATATGGCAATGAATCCTGGACAATCTGTCCACAGATGAAGAGAATGCTTCAGGCAATATGTGAATCTACAGAAAAATGCTAAGAATATCATGGCCGGAACATGTGACTAACGAGGAAGTATTAAGGAAAATGAAAACAAAATGGAAAGTATGCATAAATCAAAAAAAGAAAATTTAAATTTCTTGGACAAAGAAAAGAAAATGTGAAACTCACAGGACATACAGAAGGCAAGAAGGACAGTAAATATTAGCGAGTAATCGGGTGCTGATCAGAATCCTGAATCTTAAAATCCCGAATGTCGAAAACCTGAAATTTAAAATGCCGAAATTTGAAATCCCAAATGTATCAAAATGCCGAAAGATCAGAATGTAAAATCTGAAAAGATCTTTCTTTCTATGTGCCGTGTCCTTTCAGGACGTAGGAGATTATGGCTCTCCACATCTTTCTATCCTTTGCAGCTCACAACAAGTTCCTTCCCTCTGCTTCCTCCCCCAGACCACGTTCTGTCATCCACTTGCTTAAAGCCACTAGGTATGTCATGCATTGTTTTCTTTTGTCTCTCTTTCCCTCTATTCGACCCGTGAGTATCAGATTCTCCAGGCCTTCCTTTCTCAGAAACTTCAGCTTCCTCTTCCTGATGTTAAGCATAAGCCTCCCCTTTGCTTGCATCCTCTCTAAGATCTCATCGTTGCTCACACGCTCGGTCCATGATATCCTCAGCATCCTTCTGTAGAAGCACATCTCCGTCGCCTCGAGTCCCTTCTTCATCTTTGAGAAAATCGTCCAATATTCGCTGCCGTAAAGAAGGACAGATGTCACGCAACAGCTCAGTATTCTTTTCTTCGTTACCAAAGAAATTCTTCTGTCTTGCAATACTCTAGAATCCCGAAAAATAGTCTTTGAGAGAAATTGAAAAAAAAATGGAAATACCTTTATCTTTAAATATTTTCAAAACAGTGTTTGTACATTTAAAACGTTCAAAATTCATTAAAAAATGTGAAACCAGAATATGGCATAAGCGATGGGAAAATCTAGTAGGCAATGCTCATGTCAGTGTTTATCGCATTATTGGAGAGTTTCAAAAAAGAGCAGCGGAAAGTAGAAAACGAATGTGAACGCATTTTCCGAGGAGAGTCTTGTACAAAATGAAAAAAAAGTGTTTTTATCGTGATGGAAGGCTTAAAAATATAGTTAACAATGGTGAAAACCGATCAGATCTTATGGACTATCTTAGGACTCATGCTCATAATCTTTCATTATAAAATATTCATATATTCTGGTTTCATATTTTTAAATAAATTTTGAACGTTTCAAATGTATAAACACTATGTAGTAAAAACAGAACCAGTTAATAAACTTATACCAAAGAAAAAATGAAGAAAATGTGTCCCACGGGGTTAATTAAATCAGTCAGGCGGACAGATAGATTCGTATTCTTTCTTTCCCTCTGAATTTCTGGGTGGAAATATTTTGGCTGCTTATTATTATTTCATGGTTCTTTTTGTCAAGCCTGTTTTTTTTTGTATTTGTTGTTTTTAGCACAACACTTCGACTGCTCTTGGCGTCAAGTGACGGGCTTGCAAGGATTATTCTATAGAGTGTGACAAAAAGACCTTTCACATAATGGCAATGGTGTCTTCTAAGTAAATATGGCGACTAGGCAATGGCAACATTTCGTAGGCAATGCTAATGTCAGTGTTTATCGCATTACTGGTGAGTTTCAAAAAAGAGCAGAGGAACGTAGAAAACAAATGTGAACGCTTTTTCCGGGAAGAGTCTTGTTCAAAAAGAAAAAAAAAAGTGTTTTATTGTGATGAAAGGCATAAGAATATAGTTAACGATCGTGAAAACCAATCAGATCCTATGGACTATCTTGCTCATAATCTTTCATTATAAATCATTCATATAGTCTGGTTTTATATTTTTTAAATAAATTTTGAACGTTTCAAATTATAAACACCATTTAAACGCTATTTTGTAAAAGTTTAGAAATAAACGTATTTCAATTTTTAAAAAATTTTTCTTCAAGATTATTTTTCGGGATTCTGATCTTTCAGGATTTTAATCTTTGGCATTTTGATCTTTCGGGATTTCAAATTTCAGAATTTCGATATTCGGGATTTTAAGATTCAAGTTTATAACCCCAAACCTCGAGTAATCTACCTGGGTGGCAGAACAGGGTACGGTGGGATAGTAAAACGACAAACATTGCTAAGAAAACTACGATTGATAGGAAGAGGTGGAGAGCTATGATCGTTCATATCCAGAAGGGGCACAGCACATAGGAGGAGGAGATCATTAACATTACTCAGACCCGATCTTCTGTGGCCATTAACACATGCTTATACTTTCATATGTGTACAGATGGCAGACGCCATCACTGGTTTACATGATAACCCACATCATACACCTGTTGACACCATACGACAAGTGTTTCAGGTGGGCTATATGAATGAGTCAATTGTTCTTTCATTGTGTCATATATATTCAATGGGGGACAGGCTTACACAAATATACGGATGTGAGATGCACAGAGAGAATAGAATTTACCGTATTAGTGAATGTTTCTGCGAGACCAGCTTGTTAAATATCACATCAGGGCAGACGTTCTTACCTTAGTAAGGCATAAGGTTTGGTTTGGTTTGTTTTACGACATAAGAGCCTCAATAGGTTATTTAATGTCGACAAGATTTTTATTATTTTTCAAAAATGTATTGTTGGTAATATTTTTTCAAAAATGTATTGCTGGTAAATTTTTTTCCAAAAATGCATTGCTGGTAATAATTTTTTTTCCTAAAAATGTATTGTGGGTAATAATTTTTTTTTCAAAAAGTATTCCCCCCAACAATTATTGCTGGTACTAAAACCTATTTTTATACTTCCATGGTGTTTTGACCACTTTTTGGGGATTAACTATTTGCCCATAGCTGGGACCCTAACAGGTGCTACCACACCGGGTCAGGGTGGACCTGGGAACACCAGTAATTAAGAAATGGATCCACACTCCTCAAAACCTTCTGATCAGAGGCCTTGCTGTCGGATGTAGTTTATCGTCTTACCCAGGATGCCTCGTGTGTGGGTGGGGGTCTTACCCCCCACAGAGGTGCAGTCTGCGTATTCTGAAGGCCCAGCCGACAGGGCGCTCAGGCATAAGGTTTCAGTAATTGAGCACTAGGATAAAGATATCCTTCCTTATGGGATATTTGTCATTTAACCTTTTTTTTTTTATTTTTATTTTTTACAAACGGCTCACCTATTACAAGACCCAAGATCTTCTGGGGATGACGATAAACTACATCCGGTAGTAAGAACTCTGATCGAGAGGTTTTGAGGAGCGCGGAATCACTTATTACTCGCTGTTGTTCCTAGATTCAACCTGACCCGGAGTGGTAGCACCTGTTAGGGCCCCAGCTATGGACCAATAGTTAACTCCTAAACTGCGGTCAAACTCTACGAAAGTATAAAAAATTTTATAGTAAAAATACCAGAAATGCAGTTTCGTAGTAATAAAAATTACCAACAATACATTTATGGTAAAAAAATTACTAATGCTTCCAAGAAAATTAAATTTCGGCATTAAATGACCCATAAGGATGTTGATATGCCGTAAAACAAACCAAAGCAGGACCCAAGAATCACTCAAGTTAGAACGTTACTAAATGAGGTTGGTGTAAGAAGATTATTGGTTTATGTATGTAAATGCAGATTATGGTGTTATGTAGGATAGATAACGGTTGAGGTGCTCTAGAGATTAACGGACTTACCGTCAGGGTCAAGATTAGGGGTTTCAGTTGATCCAATGCTGTTCGTCGACAGCGTCGTAAGGCATAGTCTGTGCGCTTTACCTACTACGGCTTCGATCTGTTGTTTCAGGGCATCGTAGCGTAGAGAAACGAATAAATCGCCAGGGCATCGGTCTCTTGTCTGCAACATCTTCTCACCTGAAAGAATAGGCAAGAAAAGGTAACTGATTTACGAGAGAGAGAGAGAGAGAGAGAGAGAGAGAAGAGAGAGAGGGAGAGAGATGGGGAGGGAGGCAGAAAAGTGGAAAGAGAGGGAGAGAGAAAGGAAGAGAGAGGGAGAGAGAGAGAGAGGGAGAGAGGCAGAGAACGAGAGAGAGAGAAAGAGAGAGGGATCGAGAGGGGAGAGAGGGATGAGGAGGGAGGCAAAAAAGGGAAAAGAGAGAGAGAAAGAAAGAGAGAGGCAGAGAGAGAGAGAGGAGAGGAGAGGGATCAAGAGGGAAGGAGATGGGAGAGAGAGGGAGAGAGAGATGGGGAGGGAGGCAGAAAAGAGGAAAGAGAGAGAGAAAGAGACAGGCAGAGAGCGAGAGAGAGGGGAGGAGAGTGATCAAGAGGGAGAGAGATGGGAGAGAGGGAGAGAGATTGGAGAGAGAGAGGTAGAGAACGAGAGGGAGAGGATGAGAGAAGGAGAATAAAGGGGAGAGAGAGATGGGAGAGAGATGGTGGGAGAGGCAGAAAGAGAGAAAGAGAGAGAGAGAGAAAGGAAAAGAGAGAGAGAAGAGAAAGGCAGAGAGGGAGAGAGAATGGGAGACAGCCAGAAAGAGAGAGAGAGAGAGAGAGAGAGAGAGAGAGAGAGAGAGAGAGAGAGAGAGAGAAAGAGGGAGAGAGAGGAGGAGAGTGGGGAGAGAGAGGATGTGTCCGTAGCGTGGAAAGTGGAATTGGCGAACCGAATTCAAATTCCGGTCAATGCAATTACATTCGCTTTCAAACAGACGGCCTTGAATAAATCCATTTTTTAAATTATTTCACCCTAAGCAAGGCAATAAAGCCACTGTGACATAAGAAATTACTGAGTGTTAGAGAATATGAGAAAAAACTATTATTATCGGAGAAGGCAAAAAAAAAAAGAACAGGAATTTTGAAAACAGAAGATAACGATTGAAATTGCGTATAAACCTTCTAAGATGAAACTTGACCGGAAGGCAAGAAGACGGAAGAGAGATTTCCACAGGCAAGAAGTGTGATAGAAGAAACTGTTAGCATAGAACTTACGGTTTTATCTAGCTATTTAAACTGCAAATTGATGAAAACTTGTCGCCAATTTAGTATTGCGCTTAAATTCATAAAGTCTAGGTAACATAGAGCAAAATTCATCAGAACAATTACCATGAATTACCGAGATGCCAGGTCAGTACTAATAACGTTGCGGATTCTTCTTTGGATTTTATCAAGAATTTCTAAATATATAGAAGGAGATCTAGACCAGACGTAGTTGCGATATTCAAAGCATGGACGAATGGTAGACTCACAAAAAAAAAAAATATATATATATATATATATATATATATATATATATATATATATATATACATAATAGCATTTTTTTTGGGTGCGGACTTTTTCCCCAGTAACCGTTAAAAAAAAGAACAAATGAAAACTACAGATAACGTTCACTTTCTTCAGAAACAGTCATTCACTCCTGTAGTTCACTGCCACTAACAAGCAGTTTTTGTTCTCCTGATGATGGCCATGCTGGCCGAAACTAGTCGAGGAACCTAACTGAAATAATAAAACAAAAAAACACATCTATCATCCCCAGCTCTCATACCAAACCTAATTGTTTTATTAACACTTAGGCAGAAATTTTTTGCCAACAGTCCAGAAAGGAGTTAAAGGCTTACTAACAAATACAGAAAACGAACAATGAAACATTAAAAGAACATAAGGAAAATTTATTCTTTTTAAAAATTTATTCCTTTTATTTGCCTGAAGAAGGTCACGAGCCCGGAAACTCGTGTAGCAGAAATATGAAGAATAAAATATAACATATATACTAAAACAAATCCACATTATAACCAAAAACGTTTGTGTTTTCTCTCTTTTATATTTTATATATATAATTATATATATATTTTATATATATATATCGTTTTTCATTTCATTTTTGGAAGTGCTATCTGATGATCCGGCGTCCTTTAAAAGGGCTCTAGTGAAATAAATTATTATAATGGTACCTTAAAGTGGTCTGTTTTTTTTTACTATATATATATATATATATATATATATATATATATGTATTTGTCAGGTATATGGTCTCCCTTGTTTTTAACTGCTTCCCATTGATTCTATTTTCGTAGAAACGTAATATCATTTTTGGAAGAAAGTTGTGAGGTTTTGAGTTTTTGACTAACTGTACAGACTCATTTTTTTTGTTAATTAATTGTTCTGTAGAGACAGGAATAAATGAAAATCCGAAGATGCCAAGTCAGGAGAAGACAGTGGGTACTAGAGGGTTTCCCATTTCAACTCCTTAAGTTTCTGCAAGATCCGTTCTGCAGCTTGCTGTCTTGCCTTGTCGTGATGGGAAATGGCGCTTTTTCGATTTGTCAAAATCGGCTGTTTTTCTTGAAACCAAGTCTCTTCAAATAACGAAGGGCAGTCGAGATATCGATTTTCAAACTCTTAGAAATCTCTTTCGACGATGGAGAAGCAGGGCGTCTTTATCGACGTCGGAAGGTCGTCCGAAGCGTAGTTGATCGTTAAAATCACCCGGACGAAATCTGCCAAACCAAACTTTAACTGTCTAAAGAGCTGGAGCACGATCCAAATAAACCTTCTGAATGTTTTTGTCGCAGTTCCGACGGCAAGTCCTTTCCGAAATTCATAGAGCATGATATGGCCAGAGTTCAACTGTTCGTAATTCATCTTGAAGGCATTCATTTGTGTACAAAACGTCAACATTATCTGTCAATATTTCTGAGATGAGGTATTATATACACTATTTACATTATTCAGACTATTGTCCTCATCTTTGTCGCCATATTTATTACAATGTTTCGGCTGTTGTACGATCCGGCCTTCTTCAGGTGGTTGGAATGTCGAACTGAACTCTTTATTTTGCTCACTGGGGTAGACACGAGGGGAAGTGGAAAAATCAGGCGTGGCTGACCACATATGGAGAGAAAAGTGAGATCACCGCCCTCTGTGGGATCAGGTTGATATCATAGACAAAGAACACCATTGGAAAATTCGTAAACTTAAGGAATCAGCACATATGCTAGGCCACAAAAATCTCTTGATCCGACGAAGCATAGAAATGAATACAGTATGGGAACCAGTAATAAGGGGTGCCAGAGAAAAGAGATAACAACAACAAACATTGCAATATGAGCTCTGGTGAAAAAATGGTAACAGTAAAAAATTGCAATATGAGCACCGGTAAAAAATAGTTGCTGAGACATTAGGTTTAAAATACTCAGAAATTCATACAAGGACACATGACACCGTGGATAAAGGCGTTGGTTAGATCCAGTGACAGGACCCAAAGAGTGTGAGTTCAATAACCGGTTAAGGCAGTGGAGAACTTGCAGAGGGAAATTAACAGGAGATAATTGATAATTGACATCCGTAAAAACAAGGCACGTGGAACTAGAACATTCTACCCCAGTGAGCGAAATAAAGGGTTCAGTTCGACATTCCGACTACCTGAAGAAGCCCGGAGCGTACAACGACCGAAACGTTGTAACACATATGGCGACAAAGATGAAGACAATAGTCCAAATAATGTTAATAGTGTACATAATACCTCATCTCAGAAATATAGATAGATTAGTTTTGCTGGCAACTATTCATCGGCGAAGCCTCAGATTTCATTTTTTTTGTCTTTATGTTCTATTTTCACTTTTTTATCTGCTGTTATGGAATAACCTGCCACCCCCATGAGTGGCGGCACTATAGGTAGTAACCTGTTAGGACAGCGGACAGCAGAGTTGAGCTGGGATCTGCGAGAACAAGCAGCCTTCCAACTGTACTGACTTGTGACGACCGTGCACATAACTATTACTTCCTTGCTAGTTTTACTGGTTTCTACAATAAACCTGTTACTATTTATCCCCTGTGTTTGTCTATTCCATATTCCTATTAGCACGGAATATAACATTATTCACCCTCTGGGCCATTTGATCCCGGCTTTGTTTTCGGACAAAATTTGTGCTTATTTGGAAGCGTAATATCGAAGAAAGATTCGTGGTGTGACAGCTTGCGGGCTTATTTCAAATTAAAACTATATCGTAATTAAAAAAACAAAAAAACTGAAAGAACCTGCTCATGTCAGACAAGATATTTATTTCCGAAGTAACAGGTGTATCTAGAGAAGAAATTATTTATACAATTTCCTCCGTGGACCGACAACAAAGGAATGTTTTCAGTAATACACATAATGCATTAAAAAATAATTAGTTTTATTTAAGGGACACGTAACAATACGTGAGTGTTGAACAAAAAGAGACAGCTTGTAGTGAGGTGAATATCAATTAACTGATTGTGTCAACTGACTAGCGGGGTGAGGTAACGAGGAATTCGACTTGAGGTCTACTCATCCTTGTTCTTATTACTGTGCTGAGTAGATCTTCCTTCTAGTCAAATCGTTTACCGCCCCCCCCCTCGCTCGTTCACCTTACGGAGAGGTTCGGCGATTTCAAAAGTCACGATGTCGACTTCAGGTGCCATATCGACTTTTGCAAATTTCTTTTCACGTTTCTCGCGTGTACGTTGATTGATAGGAAATGTTTCATAGTTGTTTTACGGTCTGTCTGCATGACTACGCCAATAACACGTTACGCCATGGTATGACCAGCAGACTCACTCACCCTCTTGGCAGGCAAAGAGTAACACGTCTGGATCGATATTATCACTTTTTCACGTCTGTTTATCTAACGATACCCAGCGATTTAATTTTTTTCATATTTTTTTGCGGGACTTCTGACCATCAACTGACTCTGTGAAATGTATCGTATGCCCAGAGATAACAGATTTTTCCAACATCTTGTGAGGCTGTCGTTTAGTTATGAGATCTTTTTTTCTTCTTCATACTTAAAACCAACTTATTCTCCTCTATTTTACTCATACGATGTATAATTATTAGTTCTCAGCAAGAAAAGAAAACAGTACTAAGATAGATAGATAGAGAGATAGATAGATAGATAGATAGATAGATCCTACGTGGCTACCGAATGTGACACAAGGTCCTGTTTTAAAGGGAATTTATGGTAAAATCCTGGAAAATATCCTAACCTCTCTCAGCATTTCCCCTTTTAAGGACGCCTTAGGCGCCAGGCGATAAATTGTGCCCCCGCCTCCATCTTGTGAAGAAGGAACTGCCTGGGGACCGGAAGAACACAGCAGTTAGACAAGAGATGTGAAAGGGAGATTGGAGCATCTCGGTAGTCAACAGCCACACTAGTGTGGACTTATGTCAGTTTTAAAACTAGGGTCTTGATACAGAACGCAGACTATTACTTAAACTGGACTCACGTATTAAAAAATAAACTATTACAAAATATTATACCATATTATACTGTTATATTATTATAGGATTATATATATATATATATATATATATATATGTGTGTGTGTGTGTGTGTGTGTGTGTGTGTGTGTGTGTATGTGTGTGTGTGTACAGGCGATCCTTAAAAATCCATTCGGTTATAATTTATTTAATGAATATCCAAATATTCATCTTTTCACACGGAAGTTTTTTCTTATTAAATGAAATCAATTTGTCCAGACAAAAAGAAAGGGGGGGAGGGATAAAAAGAAAAGGAGGGGAATTTTTATATTAAAAGAGGAAGAAAGAAAAAGAAAAATTTCAATATAAGCTTTAAAATATTGGGTGGGGGAGGAAGAGAGAAAGAGAGAGGGAGAGAAAAGGAGAGAGTGAGAAAGGTGAGGAAATGAAAGAAAGGAAAGAAGAATTAAACGTGAGCCGATAGGGTGACTTAGAAATGATTTTTTCTTTAAGGGCTGAATAAGTTAAAATACTGGGTAAGATAGGGGTTGATCAGACTAAAAATCCGTAATTTGTCTAACAGTCATGTTATTTTCGACAGCAAAGGAATCCCCCTTGCATTATAGTCATCGTAATTATTTGGATATTCATGAAATAAATTATAAACGAATAGATCTTTAAGGATCGGCTATACTTATTATTAATTGATATTATATATATATATATATATATATATATATATAACATTTTAACATAAAATGCATATAAAGCATTAAAGTATCTGTCTATATTTCTGAGATGTGGTATTATGTACACTATTTACATTATTCGGACTATTGTCCTCATCTTTGTTGTCATATTTATCACAACGTTTCGGCCATTGTACACTCCAGCCTTCTTCAGGTGATTGAAATTTCGAACTGAACCCTTTATTTTGCTCACTGGGGTAGACTGTTCTAGTTCCAAGTGCCATGTCTAATGGATGTCAGTTATCAGTTATCTCCTGTTAATTCTCCTCTTCAAGTTCTCCACCACCTTAACCTTGTTTTGAACTCACTCTTTGGGTCCTGTCATTGGATCGAAGACACATGGTACAGTGGATAAAGGCGTTAGTTAGATCCAGTGTTAGGACCCAAAGAGTGTGAGTTCAATATCTGGTTAAGGCGGTGGAGAACCAAATAACACACACACTTAACAGAGACACATCTCCTTTCCAGGAACCAATAAAACTATCAAAATAACAAAGGGAATTCAGAGCAGCATGAATCCATCCAGCTCTTATCTTAAATAACAACTTAAAAGAGACTGTTTGACCAACACAAGGACTGACCAAAATTCATGTTTAAAAAAAATGAATAAAAATAAAAAAAACAAATGAAAACGACAGGCAAAAGTTCATTTTCTCCATCAAGACATCCATTTCTGTAGTTTACTGCAACTAGCAAGCAGAAATTTTTTTCTCCTGATGATGGCCATGTTGGCCGAAACTAGTCGAGGAATCTAAATGAAATAATAATAAAAACGAAAGAATATTAATATACAACCAAGTTTGTCTGAAGATTTTAATTTTTAACATTTTTTATTGTTCAAAATATATATATATATATATATATATATATATATATATATATATAAACAGTTGTTGGTCAAACTTGAATCAGACCAGACAACATTATATTAAGTTATATTAAGCTAGGGCACTTGTTTTGCACATCTCGAAAGCGTTCAATAAGTTTTGGCCTAAAGGGCCTGCTTCACAAGTTAAAAGATTATGGCACATCCGGATGAATTTGGTTCTATTCAAATCGCTAAATTAAATTCATACTGAACGGCATCTCCTCTAGATCTTTTTGTATTAGGTTGGTGCAAAAATAATGACGTAATAATATCGTTTTTTGACGTTAAAAAATACGTCAAAAAACGACATCATTACGACATTATTTTTGCACCAACCTAATACTAATACAGGTGTCCCCATGTCTCTTTCCTTGTACCTATTTTGTTCTTAATTTTCATCAATGACCTTCCTGATGACATCATTTGTCAATTTGGTATCTATGTTCACAACAACCATTTACTCACGTCTCGAGAGTAAGCATGGTCGGTTGGACAGATTCAAATTAGCAGTTGATCTAAAAAAAAAAAAAAGAAGACCTACAGTCTGTTGTTAACTCGGGCAAAGAATGGCTTGTCAATTTTTACGCTTCCAAAACAAAACTACTCTCTGCTAAAAATCTGAGAGACCTTTTTCTGTCTTCTATCAGAATAACGGATGTTAGCTTCCAGGAGAGTGACTCATGGAGCTTTCTCGGGATAACATTCTCGCCTGACATGAAGTGGAAAGATTTTATTGAATCCATTGCTAAGTCAGCTGCTAAGAAAATTGGTTCACTGTGTCGTGCTAGACAATTTCCCCAGAATCTTTATTACATATCTATAAGTTTACCATTCGTTCATGCTTTGAATATTGCTGCCGCATATGGTCCAGTGCTCCTGCTTTATATCTTGAGATTCTTGATAAAATCCAAAGAAGAATCTGCAATATTATTGGTCCTGATCTGGCATCATAGCTTCAGACACTTTTCCACTGCCGTAACGTAGCTTCTCCCTGACTTTTCTATAAATACTTTCATGATACTTGTTCGAATGGGTTCTTCGCTATGGTAGTGTATTTCTTCTTCCCTCCCCCGTTTAGGCGAGCAGAGACTTCAGTTTTCTGGTGGATGCGGGGCGCCTTTCGTTTCGCGTGTGTGTTTTCGTATTTGTTGTGTTTGAATGAATGTGCGTTTCAGTGTGTGCCTGGAATGAATGAATGTTTTAAATCATTAGAGTACCGCATTGATTTCGTCCAATTAACTGATGCTTCTGCCACATTTAAGGATTGTGTGTGTGTGTGGGGTGGGGAGGTTGGTTGCTATTACTAATATTATTTTGTTTGGTTTATTGTATCAGGTCATCCCATAAGTTTTGTCCGAATTTTGAATAAAGAAAACAAGTGACCAAATATTACATTTAATTACAGATTCAATCAACAATGTATTTTCCCTGAATATCTGACTTCCTTCCATCTATTAACAAGCTTACTAATTCCATTACTGTAAAATTCTTTTGGCTTTGATTCGAAGAACTCACAAATGTCAGTTTTAACCTCTCCCTGTGTTACAAAAGCTGTTTCTTCCAAATGATTCTGTAAGCTACGAAACAAATGGTAGTCTGAAGGAGCAAGATCGGGAGAATAAGGTGGATGAGGAATTTTCTCCCAACCTTCTCTTCGATCTTTTGTGACGCGATTCTTGTGTGTGGAGTCGCGCATTGTCCTGATGAAACATCACCTCTTTTCGATTCACTAGAGCAGGTCTTTTTTTCCTCAAAGCTTGGTTTAAACGCTCTAATTGCTGACAGTATATTTGAGCATTAATTGCTGCATTAGGTGGTAAGAATTCAAAGTGGATTATTCCTTGGCGATCCCACCAGATTGAAAGAAGAACCTTTTGCCCATGAAGTTCCCTTCTCGGCTGTGGCTGGGGTCCTTCCCCTTTACCAAGCCACTGTCTACGATGCTTAACATTTCGATAAAAGATCTATTTTTCGTCGCCAGTCACAAGTCTATCCAAAAAAGGTGAAACAAGTTGGCGAGAATGGAGAGAAGAGCAGATGTCAACTCGGGATTTGAGGTTGTTTTCAGACAATTCATGAGGCACCCATTTTCCAAGTTTAGGAACTTTTCCAAGTTGTTGAAGATGACGATGAACAGTTGTATGGTTTGAACTGAGAACCACTGCCAATTCCTCAACTGATAAAGCAGGATTTTCATCAAGGTCTGCTTCAAGAAGCTTTTCATCAAACTCAACTGGACGTCCGGTTCGATCTTCATCTTCAAGGGGGAAATCTCCACCTCTGAATTTTGCAAACCATTTTCTGCAAGTTCTTTCATTCACACATTCCTCTCCATAAAATGAGTGAATGTTTCTAGCCGCTTCGGCTGCTGAGTTTCCTTTCTTGAACTCATAAAGCATTATGTGCCTCAAATGATTCTTGGGTACTTCCATGTTAACAGGGTTTTAATCAAACACAATTTAATTTTATTGTTCTCTGAAATAAAATTTGATCAGTTTAAATGCATGTAAACATAAAAATAATGTTCAGCTCCATTAGACATTATAAAATACTCTTTAAATTTCGTTCATTTTAACAAAAAGTTAAAATTCGGACAGAACTTTTG